CCCGCAGCTCGTGAGACACACCGCTAAGAGGACCGAACTATCGCACCGCGAGCAAAGGTGGGCCCATAAAGGGTGGGGGGTAGGGGGGCACAGCGAATCACTTTGTTACTTCGGGCGCGGGGTTGACGGATGCGAGAAGGTGCATGAACAAAAGTAGTAGCAAACCTTTACTATTGCTATTGCAAGGAACACCAAACACAACCGCGAGAGGCACAGGCGTACGAAAAGATGAGAGAAAAATAAAAAATAAAACTGTGTCCAAACACAGGCAAGGTACCTGTTACCGCTACGCCTCCCAACAATATTGATCGGTACAAGGCGTTTTCCGTTGTATGCACGTAGGATTATGCAATTGCGACGTGAATTTCGGAACTTAATTTTTCAAATACACCAAACAATATACGAAAAAAAAAAAAAAAAACGAAATTCCGTAAATAAGAAGAAAAAAAACGACACACACACAGACACTGTAGGTATACCTTGTGGTCCTTCTCGAAGTTGTTTGGGATGACGAAGGCCTCCTTGACGAACCGGAAGACGGCGAGCGTGTTCGCCGGTACGTTCCCCTTGCTCTTTCCTTCTCGGGAGTATTGCACCTCCTGTCATACAGCATGCGTAAATTCAAATGTAGGGGGGCAAGAGCAAGCAAGATCAGGAGGATGGACGCGACCAAAGCCGGACGTTTTCAGCACAACGGTTGTCACATGCAAATGGATTCTCTGTCCCACGGAAATAAGGGTCTTGAGGGTTTTTGCAACAGCAAAAACTCCCGTTGAAAATAATCCGAGTATCTTCCACTACCTTCCATCGTTGAGTTTTGTGATGCGTTTTATCTGGCGGGTAAGCCAAGCACCCGTCGACCTGAAAACGGTTGAATCTCGTCGCCTGTTCCCGGAACCGGGCGAACGTTAACGTTAAAGGTTTGCAAGCAACGTCGAGGCCGGGTTCATTCACCACAAGGCACGTACCGACAAAAAACAGATAAAAGAATCCCGCCTCTTTAAAGTCCTAACCTAGTTGCATCCCGGGTTCCTGGGCTTCACAATGGAAGCCCGCGCCGTTGCCGCACACAACCCGTGGGATAAGTTGAATTGGGTGCCCGCAGTTTTCCTATTGGTCAACCATTGTACCGCCGATTTCTGATGGAAAAACGAAACTTGGTGTCGAGATGCTCCCCCCCGCCGCCCAACTCCATTCGTCCCCTGCACGCGCTTGATAGAAAACCTCCCATTGACAAATAACCGAAAAATTGGAATGCCTTGTCGAATAAAATCACTAGAAATATTTAATCGGTGATACTTTCGTGTTCTATCTTGAGTGAGTGCACCCTGGCGGGCGGTCCGTGATAAAAATAATACGGTAAACGAGATGAAAATGAGATGCGGCAAGGCAAAGACATAAACAACGAAATCGCCACCTTGTGAATAGCCTCCTGGACGTGGGAGTTCGAAGAAGACTTGGGAGCGGTAGCCCCCGCGACCACACCCAGCGATGGCAACGCCGCTGCCGACACCGATCCGCTTCCTCCATCCCTGTAGATGTGGATGAAAGAAATGCGGGAAACAGTAGATGCAGGCACGCCAGTTAGGTTATCCTTCGAGCTGTAGACCCTATTTCTCATGGAAAAAGGAAAAATGGAACAACAACAAAAAAACTTAAGGGGAAGCACAGCACGCTAACGGAAAGGGTGGTAACGGAGATGATGAGTCCCAGTCATCCCCACCCTTCAGGTACAAAGGCGGCCAAGTGTTCGGGGCCCCTACCAAACCATTGCACGCCTATCAAGTGTTAAAAAAGTAGATAAGAGTCACCCTCATTTCACAATCAGACGCTCGGGGTAAGGTTACAGCATTCCGTTTCTGAGAGGAAAGAGGGAAAGGACTCCAACCATGGCATATGTATGTACAAAGTGGGTACAGTATGTCACAAGGACGGATTCTCCGTGGACTGGATTACCGTATGATAAGTGGTGACACGTGTTGTCACAACCCTCTTGGACCGATGTTCAAAGCTTGATTGTTTCACAGCTGCAGAAAGAGCACAGGGCATTGATGCTACTATGCTACAGCAGTGGTACATGTTAGAAAAAGGCTTATCCATTAGACTACTCAGGGAGCCGCTGACGAGAGTAGTCCAATGGATAAGCGTATTATCTAACTCAAAGTCAGCGCTGACTGAGCAGTCTAATGGATAAGCGTTTGTCTTAACAGCATGGGTGTAAGAAGCAAATGATGCATCAACTTGGTGGCATGAGCATTGTCCTTGTACTTGAGATGCACGACACTACTGCTGTCGTCCAATTCCTGCTTCCCCGCTGTCGGTAGCATCCTTAACCTTGATTACAAAAAACCGGTGTTTGCCCGCGAAGGCTCGTTTCATTGGTCTATTTATGATGCTAAATTACATGAAGAATTATTCCATACATGACGGTTAGATTGTATCTGTGGTTGTCGAACCGACACATGACGGGGTGTGTTTGGAGAAACCGCATCTCTCGCCTGCAGACTGAGCTGGGTCATGCGTATGGTGCACATTCATGAGCGTACAAAGCTGGGTCTGTCGCGTGGATGGAAATTGACACGATGCATGTGGCTTTTTCGCGCCATTTTTGGAGCTAGTCCCCCAGCAGTACATACGGAATCAAGTTGTCTGCGAATTCGCTGCACAATTTTCGCGCCAAAAGAGAAGGCATCAACATCGTGCCGCTGCGCTTCCTCTGCCTCTTTCAGTGGCACCAGATACAGTATACCACGCAGAAAGCACCTATTGGGGGCGCTCTCGAACCTCATGCAGGTCGACGGTGAACTGCTGGCATCTGCTACGCTGTGTGTAGATGCGACCGAGAGCTCGTGCGATGAACGGCAACTACTTGTACGCTGTGAACTGCTGTGGAGGGCATAACCCACAGCATTGTACCGGAGCCAGATGGGGCTGCTACAAGAACGCAAAGAGAGAAAGCTCCAGTCACCTTTTCTTGTCCCCATTGGCGAAGGGGCGCTTGGTCTCTTGCTGCTTGAGGCCATCGACGACCACGTCCCCCGTCTGCTGCCTCCTCTTGCGGTTGGGGAACATGGCGCTGCCTTGGATCGTGGAAGAGCTCATGGTCTCGTGTCGTGAGGTCGATGTGTCCAACAAAGTCTGATGCAAAGCGGCGACGCCCTTCAACCCCAGGCTCCAGATAAATACTCTCCGTAGACACTGCTGCTTGCGGTGGGTGTCTTCCTCGTGCTAGTAAATGACGCGGCAGAGCTGAGCTGGGATGCGATGCGGGTGTGTCGCAGCGCAATTTGTTGTTTGGTGCTTCGTGGTTCGTCTGAAGGGGTTCCGCAGTTTGCGCGCTCTACAATAAAAAAAAATTATGGCCATGTCCGACGTGCGGTGCAAAGGCAGCAGAAGTTCGGTATTCAGAGCAGCGCATACAACAACCCTCGATGTGAATGTGTGATGTATGCTCCTAATCTCCGACGCGCTGGCGCGGCAACGCGCCCTGGGCATCCACGGCGGGTTCGGCCGCTAGGCACGGGACGTGCGCCTCCGGCGTCGCGACAACGAGGGAATGGAGCAGGCGTAACAGCAGGCGGCACACGTGCTGCCTCCACAGCAGCAGCAGTGCAGCAAGCGGCAGCAGCTGAGTCGAACATCGCCGGGTGGAGACTACCGTCAGCATCTTCGGTTGCCGGTGCCGTGGCCCTCGTGCCTGTGGTAGGAGGGGCGTGGCTTGTGACCGTGTACGCTCTGCGCCAGAGGCTGTGCGAGCACCATCTACAGCAGGTACAGCGTTGTTTGAACCATGTATCGAAAAAAGGTCAGGTCTGCGTATGTCTTGGGGTCCCCAAAGCCTTTCCATGTTCGGCACAGCGGTTTGTCCTGCGCGTCGTACAGCTGTTGCCGTCACCGAGCACTAGCTTAGAGCTGGGGTAGCGCAAGACCGCCCTTGATTGATCCCATCACGACCTTCTGCTCTTGGTACTCATCGCCAGAGCCCCGTGCCCGCTTTCCCGAGATCCAACAGGCACGGGTCAAGTTTGTTGCGGCCTATTTTCCCACCAGTATCCTCCGTATTTCTGCTAATGGTGAGCACATGACACCTGCTTCGTGCCGTCAGTTGACACGGCATGCCAATGGTGGTGTTCTTGCAAGCTACGGGGTGCTTTTTTGTGCAGGTCCGCTTATCCCACTCAGCGTTGACGAAGTTCGCGGCTGGCCACTGCAAATCATCATCACCCGCATGTTGTCGCTGAACAGGAACATACGCACGCAAGCGCACGATCAACTGTCAAACGCACACGTTGATGCCGCTTCCTCTTCCCTAACGGGAACGCAATCAACAGATTATTCTCGAGCGTGGTATTGTATCCGAGCTTTTGGAGAAGAATGTGTGCATGCCGAACCGGCGTAAGGTTGGCTTTGTGCGTCGGCAGTACAATAGGTTGGTTTGGTTGTCTTCAAGTGAACAGGTCCGGAATGCGCCGTCGGTGTTTAAAAATAGAGCCAGTTCGACGCGAACAGACCTGACGGTTCAAGTTGCTGCCTACACAGCCGTAGTACACGCCTACGTTCTCTCACTAGTGTAGAGTATCTCTGCTGTTGTATGCATAGCATCACCATGCTGCGGGATAGAAGGGTGTTCGTTTGCACATCACCCACGGCAGTGCTCGCTCTATTACAGCAGTTGCCGCCCTTTTGGTGCGACTTCAGCAGCAGCAGCCACCAGGGGGATGGCCCTTTGGTATGGATTAAGAAAAGAATGAAAATAAGTCCAGTACCCAGCCGTTTTTCCTCCACTCTCTGAAAAGACTCCACCACATCCCGTTCGACTGTGGGTACCGTAAGGTTGAGAGTCAGCGCACAGGGGTGCGATCGATTTTCAAAGCGTAATTTATCCACGACCAGGAGGGTGCGAGCGCCAACTGATACTCTCACGAAAGCTCTCGATGAGATATTTCCAAAACCGCCCTATTCGACAGTGGTAACCTCCTGGTTGTGGAGCAATTACGCTTTGAAAATCGATCGCACCCCTGTGCGCTGACTCGCAACCTTACGGGTGTATCAGTCGAACGGGTAGTCTTTCTGTGTGGGTATTTAGTTTTCCCATCACGTTGTTTTTCCATTTTTCCACCGCGTATGTTTTCTCGTGGCTGCTGACTGGTTCGTCGGCTTGCTTACTATCGTTGTAATATTTGTACTCGGCACGTTCTGTCATGGTTTCGCAATTTATCTGTCCTGCCGCCTGTCGTATGGGTATCCGCTCCTATTCTTTGTTGTTGTTGTTGTCTTACGTACTTTGTTACACACACAAAACCGGAAATTTATCTGCTACATGTACAACGTACATAATCCCGTAAGGGTACCCACAACCATACACCCGACGAACCATCTACCCAACACCCTCCTTCTACACCTTCCCAGCATAACATACAAATAGATGCGCAATACGGCTACCAAACTGTCTTGTTGACCCTGTTACCCACCGGGGAGATGTCAATGTGTGCTGGTCTGAAAATCGTGGAAAAACAGAACTTTCGCTGACGCTATGGAGTCAGTGCCAATCTATCCTAGACTCTTTTCTCAGATAAGAGATGGATTCGTTGGGCCACACTGAGAAAAAAAAAAAAAACGTTCCGTTCCCTCTACCCAGTACCTTGTTCTGTCCGTACTAGCCAAACACTTGACGGTCGATTCCCGTGGTCACAGGCTAACTTACCCAAAAAGGTACACGAAATATAATGGATCCGAAGGGGTCTGCAAGTCAATAGAAATAAACGACGAATAGTCTAGGACCCTCCGCTTGCCTCTACACGCTATGCGAGGCAACCGTAGACTGGAAAAAAAAGAAAGAGAGAAGAGAAAAAGAAGAAGAAAAAGAAAAAGAGAAAGAGAGAAAAGACCCAGAGAGAGGCATACGCCAGAACCACTACCGTCCGTAGCGACACGCAAACAAAACAAAACAAAACAAAACAACACAAGACGACACGAAACGGGCCACCCGTGACACCAAAGGCACGTCATCGCTCGTTGGGGGTTGGTGCAATGGTGCAGTGACGGGGGGGGGGGGGGGTTGGCCCATCAATCAATGGGTTCAATCGGGCAGAGCATTTCGCGCCCCTCGGTCCGCCTCTTCTCGTTTTCTGTCTTCCCTCGCCGTCTCGTCCGTCTGCTGCACCCCTCCCGCCCCAATGGGTGTTGCCGTGTCCTATTTCAGTACTGAATCTGGGAAACTTTCTTTCTGTGACCGCGGATCATGCATGCTCATGCTCTCATGCTCTTTTTGTTCTGTACAAAGACAACGGCTAGTGATGGTGATTTTGGCAAAGGGAAACAGTCTACTATTACCCGCCTTGTCGGTGTCGGTTGTCATCGGCAACAGGTGGAGGGCTTAGACTCGGCAGCCTCGAGAGAGAAAGAACGCCGCCGACGGTCGCGAACTTCTGGTGGCGGGAGGGGCCCGGGAACAGGGAGCAGCGGCGGTGGCCGGGCTACCGTTCGGCCGATGCACCCGCCGCTGTATCCGGGGTCCTCAGCTGACGCAAGGGCGCTGAGGGAGGTGCTGTCGAGGCCGGCAAGCGGGGTCACCGTGCTCTGCGTCGACCCCCCCGCGAGGTACATCAGACTATGTTTTCTGCTGCATTGCTTTCTTGCCGCCTTGCTTTCTCGAGGAAAGGAAGACAGGCTGCGTGACACCATTGTTGTCCCGTTTAGACGTGCGCCATAGAGACATGCGACAAGATAGCAAGAATAGGACGGGGGGGGGTCCTCGTTTCGACTATGTAGTTTCGCCATGCTTTCGGCATCGGAGTGGTGACGTTAAGAGCAGGGGGTTGGGGAATGAGTCCCTTGTTCCACGCCGTGATCGTTTCATTTATTTCGTATGCATGTGTGGCCGCAGGCGGCCGAGAGGGGACCGGGGATCATGTCTGCCATGGTCTACCAGATCATGATCTACTATGGTCTACCATAGGGTATATCATGATCTACTATGGTCTACCATAGGGTATATCATGATCTACCATGATCTACCACTGTTTTCACGTAGATGTCGCACAAAATTTGTTCAGTCGCTATAATAGTCATGCCTATCGTTACCAAACCCTTGGTCCATTTCTTCTCTTCTACCTGTACCCACCCCATTTTTGTCTCTATGTACAGCTACACGGGCGATGCCTTCGTCCGCAGCGCCCTCTTGGGCCGAGCCGCGACGGTGCACGTCCAAGCGGGAGAGGGCTATGGATCCCTGGCGTCGTGTTTGGCCCGGGGTCTGGGGGTGGAGTTTATGGCCATCAAGCTCCAGGTGAGCTGTAAATTTGTTTTCAGAGGTATGGTTTTGCTGTGGTGCTGAACCTCTTGGGCGTTTTGAAAGTTTTCAAGGTAGTCCTCCGTTGGAGGGTTAGGGTTCTGCGTGTAACCGTCTTTAAGGCTGTGCTGTAACGCTGTAACAACCATCCTCCCCTTTTTTTGCTCTAAACGTTGGGCTCCTTTTAGCCAACACGGATTCGCGATAGAAACGGAAAACGGGGTTGAAAGGGTAGAATATCGTGATGTGCGAACTTGTAGGCATTTGCGTTTTGGAATTGCTGAAGAGGTATGTATCTGTTCAGTACCGAGGGGAAGGAGCCATTACAAGGTTGGTCCCGTCGAATCATGCTTTGGATGGTTGGTAGTGATTGATTTGTATCGATTGTGGTTCTATCAGTACTTAGCTTGTGAAGGCCGGTTGGATCACAGTTTGGAGTACCGCCACACCGTAGCTGTGGGTTTTACCCTACCGGTGAAACGATCGGGAGAGCAGTTTCTGATGCGAAGAGAAGGCTAGCCACTGTGATCGGTGGCGCCAACTGTAGGGTTAGGGTTAGGGTTAGGGTTAGGGTTTGCGTTCCGGCGTACAAACGGCGACATGTTTAACAACCCGAAGATTTTGACAACGTGTGTTGGCTTTATGGCCCGGACGCCTCAACGGCGACTTTTTCAAACAAACCTTTCCAGCCACAAGCAGTACCAACGGCATGGACAACGTGCGTTGGCTTTTTGGCCCCGACGTCTCAACGGCGACTTTTTTAAACAAAACTTTCAAGCCGCATCGGCAACGTGTTGGCTTTGTGTCCCAGACGTATCGACTTTTTTTCAAACCGAAGATTCAGCCATAGCAGCAGAACCAGCAACGACAAATGTGGTGGCTTTGTGTCCCAGACGCATTTTTCAACCTTGAGATGCCAGCCGCAGTAGCAGCAACAGTACCGACAAACACGTGCATGCGTGTGTTTTTATTGTTCGCATCGCCCGCGCTTACCGGCTGACAAATGGATGAAAGACGCAGTCTCAGTGCGGTTGAAAACACAAAATGCTTCTAAAGGCCATCATCTTGGGCCCCGTGAGGCGGCGTTATGGGGGAGGCTATGCTACTCTCCGGATGAAAGACAGATAACGTACTGTAGCAATATCAGAGCAATACTGCCCGCCCGTGTTTACACGTATGGGCTGCTCTTCTGCTTTCGACGTGCGTTCGTTACGGATTGCTTTCATCGTCCTCCCTACACTTTACTACCGCCACTCTCGTCGCTCATATTCCCACTAAACGCGTTTTGGCAGGTCCTCTCTTGTCGCGCGGCTTTTTTTGTGGGGAAGGTCATCTGGCTCAATAATTTTGCTCTCTCCTACGCCATACTTTTCCTCCTCCATCATCGCTTTCATCGTCTTTTCTTCCCTTTCCCTGTGTACGTGTGTGTTTGCTCGTGTGATTTGCAGATGTCAGCACTGTTGCCGGGCCTGGCCGCCGGCGAACAGGCCTCCTCGGGCGCGAGGGGGAGGGCGGGGGGGTCATCTTCGACGGACGCAACCAACAGCGAGCTGTCGGACATAAGGGCCGTGCTGGAGACCGCGACGGCCGCCCTGGAGGAGATCCGGAATCAGGTGCGAAACGTTTTTTTTTTTTTGTACAACATGGCACGGGTTCGTTCATGGGTTCGTCGTAAGATCGTGCACCACGTAGCTGTGAGGTGTATACCGTACATGCACTGCGTGAGCTTGTTCTTTGGATGAGGTGTGCCCTGCCTGCCTGGTTGGTTGCACGGGTTATTCCGTGAAGTGTGTGATGTACCAGTTGTTGTCAAGTTAGTCGGCAGGTTTTCTGTGCTATCTACTCCTACGTTGTTTTCTGGGGTGCTAACGGCTGCGGACATGATTTTCCCCGAACCAGACCTAGATTGACAATTGACGATCAATCCGTGCTCCACGCGTTCTTTCGAGTCTTACACTCGAGTGCTAAAAAAAAAGAAACTTGAATAAATAACAAGACCCTCGAGTGTGTCGTGAGTCTTTTACACTTGTTCCAAATGTGAGCTTTTGGAGGTCTTGTGTTACCGGGCATTTGTCTGAATCAACCCACCTACAGTCGCAGTCAAAGGGGTGACAGTCCCTCTATGTTACGCGCGTGCGTGCGGTTACCGTGGTCACCATCAAAACAGCGAAAGTGTCTACGCGCTACTTCACCTCATTGCGTCCAGGACGTTATCCAATCTAGGCGTCTAAGCCATTCTAACCGTCTGTGGTGAAATCCTTTTGCTTTAACAGGCTGACGATCCTCGCAACCACCTGCCTCCGGTGATTGTCATGGACGGGCTCCTCGGGCGCATTAGAGAAGGTGACGGCGACGGGTGATGCGTGCTGTAATGCGTTCAAAGCTACCAAAGCTTCGAGCACGGGCGACATTTCGTGATCTGATTGTTGTGGTCGTTGTCGTTGTCGTTGTTGTTGTTGTTGTTGTTGTTGTTGTTGTTGCTGCTGCTGCTGCTGCTGTGGCTGTTGTTGATGTTATTGACACCCACTATTGTACTACAACTCCAGCTCCTACGCTGCTGCTGCTGTTTCATTTGTTGTTGTTGTTGTTGTTGTTGTTGTTGTTGTTGATACCACAACTATTTTGCAAAAGACTCCTGTTCCTATCTAGCGTCTACACAGTAACACCACCGCCCAACAGCTTTCTGCTGCTGGTGCAATTGGCACCTCACACTTTCGCTGCACTTTTTTGCCGCCGTTGGAGAGCAGGAGAAGACGTCCCGGCGGCTGTGGAAGCAGTGCTGCGTTGGTGCTGGACAATCACCGGGGGGCGAAGGCTAGCACATGTGGTGAGCTTTCTCCCTGCGCTGTATACCTCTTGAGGTACATACCGCGGGTGACATGACGTAAGATACCACGCATCCAAAGGTCGCTTGCTCCACACCTGCAGAAAGAGCGGTGGTACCGTGGACGGCGGGAGGCGTTAGAACCGTCTCGTCGAGAGATATATTGATTTCCGAAAAAATATCATTTGACGCTGCATCCTCTTCATCGTCGTGGAGTACTGGAGCTATGAAAATGGACCCAGGGTGTATGATAATGATACATCATGTCACCTACGGTTGAAGTGGTAGATCCAGGAGGTGTGATATCTTGTGTCACCTACGGCAGAGGTAGCCTGTCGTTTCGTCCCATCTACGCTATCAATAGCGCAAGCCTCCACCTGTCGGTACAGGTATGTTGACGCGTATCATCCGGGGTCACAGCGGGCACAGCCTAGCGCTGGTTTCTCTCTGCGGGTCTGTGCACCTGGTCAGCCTTTAGCCAGAGGCATGTCATTCTATCCAATAGGCAGAGCAGTGGGACGAGCGACGAAAGCTTCTCTGGCTGACAATCGCTTTTTTCTCTCCCTCGCCTCCTTCTCCTCTCCTGTGCTCTGTCGTTGCCTGCTTGGTTGGCTTCCCTGTAAAGGTGTTGATCGCGCCGCAGTCCTTGGCTGTTGACGGATCTCTAGTGAGAGTCAAGGGTTTCCTAAACGATGGACGCCTGGCGCCAGGGTGAGCTATTGTCGAAGGGCCTACCTCCTGGTACCCGCAACAAAAAAAATGTCCTCGAGATCCCCCCCCTCCTACCTAGTGCTCCGTCCTCTCGAGGACGCTGGTCAATGGTCTAACCGCTAAGACATGCAAAACGTAAGCGCACGTCCCCTCCCCCCCCCCTGCCACCCTCCCCCCTACAGTTGCGCGCGCCCCTTGCGCCGAAGTATGATTGACGCATTGGTTCCTTCCTCTGCACTTTTAGCAGTGCGGTTCCCTTCTCCAAAGAAGAACGTCTTTGAGGGCTGACGACGTGTCTCGTGAAGTTGTGTAAACGGCCATCTCCTGTCTCGAAAGGAACTCATGGTCCACGGCTAAATGACGAAACCTAACAGCCGCTCGTCTTGTCGTCACGACACAGTATGATGCGAGTCATCGCCCTCAACGCGCCGGATAGCAGCGTGATCGAGCGGAGGTTCAGATCTCGATTTGCGGCCGCCCCGCAGCAGCCAACTCAGGGGGGGGCAGGCGAGGAGGGAGAGCGAGCCGTTACGCTGTGCATGGAGCTGGTGCACCGAGAGGGGTGTTCGGTGGCCGACGAAGCGAATGAGATTTTGACGTGAGATACCTGTATTGCCGCACGTGGCTGAGCTTGTTGTTGTTGTTGTTGTTGTGGTTGATAATTTCATGACCCACACACTCCTTCCCCACGCGACGAAAACGTTACTGTTGTTGTTGTCGTTGATTGATAGTATGCATATCATGACCCACACCCCATTCCCCACCAGTAACGGAAATGAAATGCTTTGGCTACCTTTGCAAGCCAATATACAACACCCCAAAATGGAGAACCTTTCCAAGCCCATATGCCACTCCCCGCCCCATCGTCCCCAAACAGGAGAACCGACTTCTCGGATGACAGTCCCGACAAGCTTTCCGCCGCACGGCTGGCCCTCGAGGAGAGTCTGGACGGCTTTGCCCTGGAGGCTTGGCGTAGGGTAGGCGCTGCGGTAGAGTCCACGGCAGCGATCGCCCCCCGCGGCTTTGCTGGTACCGATGCTGTCGTTGGCACTCCTGGTGCCGTGTCATCTGCTGCGCTGGCTTCGAACCAGCGGGCGCCGGTCCCGCCATCAACGTCGGCAGGCGGTAGTAGCGGTGCTACATCTGCGAAACGCAACACGCAAGAAGGAAGGGCGGAGTCGGGGGTGACGCGGACTAGAACATCGCCGGGGAGTGGGGGTGGGGGTGATGGTGACCCCGCGGGGGGAGGGGAGGAGGGAGGAGTGCAGACGGCGAACCACGATGTTGACGACGGTGCTGCTGTTGCTGCTGGGGCCGGACCCGGCGATGACAAGGCCGAGTCAGAGGTGCCCGGCTTGTCGTCTCCTGCTGCCGCCGTCGTCCCGAAGGACGGGAAGAGGGGACACGCGGATAGCAGCGCGGAGGCAGAGGCCACGCGAGAAGAACTGCAGCAGCAGAAGCAGCAGGAGTCGCTACAGGACGAGGGCAAGGAGCCACCGGCGGCCGACATTACCCCCGACGAACCCGCTTCCTTGGAAGCGTCGGAACTTTCGTCGTTCCTTTCCCCGCGGGCGAGGGGGGAAGAGGAGGCGGTCTACTGGGAGGAAGCGGAAAGTCTTTCCGCCCCGGTTGTGGCAGAAGAACCATCATCCAGTTCTTCTTCCGCGGTGGCAGCAGCAAATGCGGCGGAGGCGAGCGCGGAGGAGGCGTCAGAGGCTGCGGTTTGCAACCCAGCGGACCCCGCCTCGCCTGTGGGGAGGCTCGTGGAACTCCTGGGGGAGCTCGCGGACGGCGGGAAGGTTTCTGTGCATCACGCCGTGGCGGCGTTGGATGGGGATGGAAAAGCGCTGGCGAGGCTGGTGAGAGTGATCCGAAGACCCCGTGTCTGCCTGTTTGGCATGTTGGGTTTCCCACACGGGGGGGGCGGGGTGGGGCAGGGGGCGGGGGCGTACTCACGTGTTGCTGGCGTTAGTCTGGACAATGATTATCCCTTTGCTTTCGAGAGGCAGGGCAGCGCTGCTGGCCTTTTGCGACAAGCCGTGCTCGCCCCGCCGACATTTCTTGCGATCTTCGCGCATTTTTGGCCGTGTTCCGCATGGAATGAGAGTGAGCGAGCCTTGAGCATGTGGGTCTTCAGGTCCCCATGTATTCTGCGTCTCCCTCCCCGTTTTCTCTACTTTTCTTGGCGCTTGTCATGGTCGTGTCTGTCTCTTGTCTGTGTCTCTGATACCTTCTCGGCCCTCTCTCTCCCTCCCTCTGTCTCTCTCTCTCTCTCTCTCACACACACTCACTCACACAAATACACCTCTCGCCCCCCGCGCCCCCCTCTTTCGTTCCCCCTGCCCAGCTTGACCTTGGCGTGCTTCGGCTGTGTCCCCAGACTCGGTCGAGCTCAGTTGGCGCTGGTCGGATCGACAGATCCACGGTGCGGGCAGGAGGAACAGCTTCAATCCTGTCGTCGTTGTCCTTATCGCTGCCGGGGTCGTCTCTCGACGCTTCTCATTCCCGTCCGGGAAGAGGGTCGACGTCTGCCGACGTGCTAGCGGAGGCAGGCGCAGCGTTTCAGGTTGGTCTACCACAGAAGCCTAGAAGGTTTTGAGATGCAACGATGCAGCCGTGATGTCATTGGCCTTTAAAGGTTGGTCTTCTACCGTATAGCATCATCAGTATTGTACCGAGGTTTTGAGATACAATAATACACCCGTCATGACATTGGGCTTTCAAGGTTGGTCTACACACAGCAATTCTGCATCAACAGTATTTCATACAGTAGTCCACGCAGGTTTTTTATAAAGTATGTAAACATACTGGATAAAGTATAGAATCGGCAAAGGCGGGGTTGGGGTTACGGTTACGGTTACGGTCTGTGTGCCCCCTCCCTGCTCTTTTTTCGTATTTCCCTCACTTGCTTTGAGTAGGCGGTCCATTTCATACGTACGGAGAGGGTTTTGAGACGCACCAGTACGACCGTGGTATCGTTGGCCATGTCCTATTGCGTAGTCCCCGGGAGGCAAGCCACCAAACTCCTTTTTGCGTTTCAGACGCAGCGGCTTCAGCTTCGTTAAGCCGGTCGCCCCGGTGGACAAGTAGACACAGCAGTACCCTCGTAAACCGTTGAGGCGTGCTGGCCACGTCTGTGCCACTCACCACTGATGCCCGTCGTGCCAAGGACGACAGGTAGGTACATGCCCGCACGCCAATTCGCCCGTACTATGATTTTTTCCCCAGACGGTGTTGTAGGCATCTATAACAGGTTATTTTGTACCTTTACCAGCGCATTTTGTACAATTGCCTGATTTTTCATCAACACCATGGATCTGGTATTTATCTATCTGCGTCGCCCCCCCCCCCCCCTCCCCCATTTGTTCTCACATCTTGGCCTGCAGGTGGGGGCGGCAACTCCTCTGATGGCGGGCGTGTTTTCCATCCTCAAGGGGTGCCAAGGAGTCGAAGAGCAGGCCATCGCAGGCGCGATCCACTTCTTGAGCAGGGGCGGGAACGAAAATGCCGCTGCCGCCGCCGCCGCCGCCGCCGCAGATTCGGCCACGAAATCGCGCAGCGGTACAAGCTTCGAGGAGGAGAGCGAAGAGTGGCAGGCGCACAGGGAGGCCTCTATGGCCATGCTCGTGCACAGGGCCATGACGTCGTCGGCGCAGGAGCAGGAGAGTGCGCCTGCAGTGACAGCAGGGCGGGGGAGGAGGGCGAGTCGAGTCGATCGTGATCGTGATCGTGATCGTGGTCGTGATCGGGGGGGAGGTTCCAGGAGAAGCTCGACCTCGGCGTATCGCACGCGGAGATTGCAGGTGTGCGGTGTGGAGAGGACGTTGGCGCTGCTGCTGCTGCTGCGTCGCACAGCAGCATTGTAGTTGGGGTGGGATCGACACGGTATGGATACGTTTCATGAGACGCGGCATGAAGATGTTCACCAACTTACATTCTCCGGACGATAAAACAAAGACAAGAAGTTGTTTCCCGGTAAGACAGCCGAACCGCGACATGTTATGGGTATTACTATTTAGTGCTAGACATGTGACACATGCAAGAGTCCTGTGTGGCCGCGTTGCCGGAACGTGTCAGCCTGACGTCAAGCGTACATGAGATGTCAACAAACTAACTCATGGTGCTTGTAGATAGGCTGGCCAGAACGAACACACCCCTCAGCTTTTCTTGTATCGAAAGCCGAACTGCGGGGGGTGTCCAACGTATATTCTGCGGACAAGGAAATACTACCGTGGCGAGGAAAGTCCCGAGGAAATCGTACCCGCCAAAAAGCCATTGCTACCCCCAAGCCTGTTTGGGTCAGCTACGGCCAGCGCGAGTGTTAGATGGCACTGGGCAGAGGTATTCATAGGAGCGTTTATAAGGTGAAGACAACAACAAACGACCACGACAAGGTCGACCTTCACCAATTTGCGCGCTCGATCTGCGTGGAGCAAGTTGTATGTTGTCCAAAGTTAGGGGTCAAAAGGGCCCTCTTGCATGCTCTTGTCTCTGCCCTACGTATCCGTCTATTACACCTCACAGGTTCTAGGGCAGTTGCAGCCTACATCAACCGCTTCTATGACAATCGTTCAAGCTACTGCTTTGCCGCTGTTGCTGTTGTTGTTATTGTTGTTGTTGATGCTGTGTGGTATATTGCCCTGTGCACTTTGTGTGCGTGTGCTCTTCAAACAGACGGCTCTGGCAGCAGTGGGGTGCATGACTACCTGGATGGAGATCTTCAAGGAGCTTAGCGCCGCAGACTCGCCGGTACGTGCCCCAGACATTTTTGTGCCTCTGTTCGGCCGAGCTTGATCCGGCCACAGCTGTATCCTCGCCAGTACTCTACTCTGTCTTGACGTTGTGTTTGTCATGACAAGAAAAACGTAATTTTTTCTCCGTGTGTCTCTCGTATATTCATAGGCCAGGCGATTCTGCTATCGCGCTGCATTAGATGTAGCAGATGCTGGTTTATTTTGGTCCAGGTTGGCACCGTTCCATGTTCAGACATGATTCTCTCTCCCTCTCTGTCTCTGTCTCTGTCTCTGTTTCTGTCTCTGTCTCTGTCTATCTGTCTGTCTGTCTGTTTCTCTCTCTCTCTCTCTGTCTCTGTCTCTGTCTCTCTCATCGGCATGTCTTCGTTGGACCAGACACCTACTGTACCAGCGTATAACCTACTTCCAGATTTTTCAGCTCAGCGGTTGATCGCTTCGTTCGCCCCACTGCTGCTGTGCTTATCGAACCCACCCCGATCACCATCACACAGGGAGGCATGCTTCTCGCAGACGAGACATTCCTGCACGAATTGTTGCGCACCTACCGTCGCACCCTTCCGCCGCCGCCGCCGCCACCGCCGGCGGCGGCGATCCCCCGCGACAATGCGGCCGTGAGCGAACCGGGTCGGCTTCGGATGGCGGACAAGGGCAGCGGCGGTGGAAACAGCGACCGCCGGTCGGGGGCAAGTGTAGAACAGCCCGGTGAGGGTGTCGCCGCACATACAACCAGCGGCGTGCCAAGCACTGCTGCTAACGCAGGCGAGGAAGGGGGGTCGACCGCTGCGGAGGTGGTGCCGGCTGGAGGTGGAGAAGGTGAAGAAACCAACGCCGCCGACAACGGGTGGATGAACGCTGCAAGCGATGACATCATGCGGGAGGGGGGGCAGAGGCAGCAGCGGGGCGATATCGCAGAGGGCGTTTCCTCTCCTGTGAATGAAAGAGAGGCCGTAGTCTCGGTAGAAAGCCGCAGCGGGGGGGGCATCGCAGATGAGGACGAGGTGGGTTCCACCGGTCACCAGCGGGTAGCGAATCTCGGGGCGGAGGACCAGGAGGACAACGGAACGGAATCTGTTGGCGGGGACGCGCTTTCCGCGGAGATGCAACAGCCGCACGCGGATGACGGGAACGGCGGCTCACCGGTCTCTCCTGCAGGGGACGGAGGGGACGGAGAGTCGGCAATAAGGGCAGACGATCCCGACGCAGCCCACGGTAGCACCGCCACCCCCCAGGAAGAGGCTGCTGCGGAAGAATCGAGAGGCGCCGGTAACGCACAGGATTCACCACTACCGCCAGCGGCGGCGGAGGCGGGGACGCCGTCACTGACTTGGTCGGACGACGCGAGAGAAGAAGAAGCGGAGCTCCCTCGCTCGGACGGACGCACTTTCGACGCCACGTCGCCGGCCGGGAACGATGTGAACGGCGATCGCAGCAGAGGCAACGGCGGCGATGACGGCAACGGTGACGGAGGACCGGCTCCCCGGCCACCGTTACCCGACGAGAGCGGGGAATCGGGCGCGGGACCGCCGGCGGGGCAGGCGGGGAGACCACCCACCGCCCCTACCGAAAACTCGGGGTCCGCACCTGCCGGCGACGGCGAGAACGCAGGGAGTTGCAACACCGCAGGCGGCGGCGGCGGCGGCGGCGGCGGGGGTGACTCGTATCCCGGTGGCAGCGGCGAGGAGGAGGAAGACGCGAACGTGGACGTGGGCGTGACTGCTCGGCATGAGCGAGAAGGCAAGATCAACGGCAGCAGCAACAACGTCCAGTCTCTCCTGGCGACGACTGCAGACAAACCCCTCGGGTATAGGGCGGCGCCGTGGGCCTGGCTCGTGCCGTCGTGGCCAGGCGCGGGGGGGAAACACCACTGATTTGTTTATTTACTTTTTTTTGTAGTGTTTTTTGACGTCGGTGTAGTAGCCTTTGCTTTGCGTCCACCCGTCGCTCGCTGCTCATTTCTCCTTCCGAACACAACCAGTCCGCAAGACTGGGATTGATTGATCGAGGAGCGGGTGAGCTTTATGTTATTGCCTATCGCGACTCCAACAATTTTGCAATTTTCGTAGATCGTTTTTGATGTTGATTGTTTTTGTGCTCATGTTTTTTTTCGTTCTCGTCTTCGTTCTTCTGAAGATAGATCCGGAAGAGGGTTTGCTTCTGAGAAAGGCAAAAAATTTCCCGGAAAGTTCCTTTTCTCACAGTACATGATGGTAGCTGCGCTTTTCGCGCCTTTCTCAGCAGATGCATTTATCTCTCGGGCAAAAGCAACATATCCACCTGACGCATGAGTTTTGGTCCGGTTTTCTCCGCTTGATTGTGTTTTTTTGCTTGGTCCTGGTCTGGGACCTGACTTAGTTCGTGGAGCTAACTAGTGCACGGGGTGTTGAAGAACCTCAAATTTCTTTTCGGGAATAATTTTGTTGAGCTGCAGGGCCGCTTTAGAGCCCACCCTTTCGTTGCTTCGTGAAGTTCTCTTTAGTTCTCCGTATGGTAGCAGGCGTTTTATTGTCGCCAATATTGGTTTGTTGGCAGTCTCCGGGAATCCATGCACAGGACATTTGTTTTAGAAGCGAAGGCTCTTAGATGTCAGTTTCAGAAACACCCCGCCGTCACAACAACATGTCGCTCATGTCTGTCTGCATCAAGGCTTAGCCTTTCGCATGAAACATTTTTGTTTTTCAGTGAAACCAGCCTCGGTGTCAGTCTCGGTTGTTTTCCATCCTTCCCTTGAGGAAACCCCTTGTGACACCGGGCAAGGCATCATTTTTTACCTTCCACCTCCCAACCACTATCAGCCCCCGTTACGCCAACCAAGGCACTCGTTCCACCTTCTACTTTCTTTCACCGTCCACCACCTACTATCATAAGTTGTGCTCGGCACGTCCGGCCCAGTCCCTACTATCACCCGGTTAAATTTAGTACTTCGTAGATGGTTTGCGTGCCATGACGGTATCATCGCCCCTGCCTCTCTCCGAGGGGGGGCAGGGGCGGGGGCGCCGGGGGGTCGATACAGCGGAACCACCCCCCCCAGCACACTTGCCCGTTGCGGGTCCGCCCGTCTTCGGTCTTGCTCCGCGACACCCCCTACCCGCAAGCACTCCCGACAGCGGGGGACCACACAATACAAAAAACGGGATTGATCAGAGGCAACCCATTGACCAGAGGAATTAACAGTTAACTGATGTAACGGTACCTCCGAAAGCCTTGAGGTTGCACCAACCAGCCGAAGTAGAGTTGCCAACCCCCCGGCGCAAGTAGAACCGCGCGTCAGTGATGGTTGGTGCTGACATTCAACGCACGCACGCCCATCGTACGAACAAACAAGCGACCAATATTGTCTAAAAGAGCAATAAAGTCAAGCAAGAACTTACGAGTACCATGTCGGCTCCCACCCCCCTCCCTTATACAAAAGACTCATGAGCAGCGTTCTTTCTTATACCAAAGGATGAATAACTCATAAGGTTCAGATCGTACCCTTTTGTACTCGATCAAGGTTGTGTACTGCGCCGGGGAAAAAAAAAGGAAAAAAAGTGGAAAAAAAATCGGAGGTAGACAAAAATCTCTCGCCGAGATTCGAACTCGGGGTACCAGCTTCAAAGGCTGGTGTGATAACCACTACACTACGAGAGACAGGAACTGAAGCAGATTCGAACCTGCGACGTCCGTGGCATATACCAGGGTTTCTATACCGTTGTGTAGACTGTAGACTGACCGTAAAAGATCAAGGCGATAATCTGGGAGGGTACAGCGAAGTCTTTGACCATATTGAGCGCTTGTCCTCTCTAAAATCCACAGCAGTGGATCCTAGCCGTTTGGGTCTATTCTTGTGCCACACGCGCACTTACGGCGCTTCTCCCGAACACCGCTACGCAGACTCTCCTACTGCAGTTTCTCAAGTTTGGTATCTATTTTCTTCATGGCCTCCCCAGGGCTCGATCAAGCTTGAAAAAAGCACGCTTTCCGAGGGGGGGGGGGGTGGGTCTTGGGCACCACTGAAGCAGAAAAAGCACACCATTTTTTCCCTCTCGTGCTGTCCAGCTGTATTTTGGTCTTCAGCAGAGGAGTCTACCGCATTAGCTAGCTGGACAACTCTGACGGTAAGCACTCAACCCGATATCGATTTCCGCTATACTCGCGCCAGGTAGTCCGCGCGGGAGTGGGATGTAACATACAGCAGCAATGTGGTCGAGAAGAGCACCACATTTGCATCCATTTGGGAAGCAAAATGGTCTGGAAGAGAGACAGCCAGTCTGGAAGAGAGACAGCCAGACTGGTGGGTTTCACCCGCAAGGTTAGGGTCATGATCCGTGATCCGCACCGTACCTGCTGAGTAGAGAGAAGCCTTTCACTGCTGAGACATGTGATCTGCCAGGCCTTCCGATGCGTGCAACAAGATCTTTCCCCTTGCGTTCATGCAGGCTACCGTCTGTATGGCACTGCACGGCACTGGACACTGGACACGTGTTTAGAACTTTGTGGCATTTTTTGCATCCAAAAGTTCGAATTTGGAACATGTGCAGCATGTGCTTCCTACTTCTTTTACAATAGACCAGCCTTCGAGCGGTACAGCGGTACTGCTGTAGTCCACTCGCATTGCCATTGCATGACGGCAACCCGAAAGCGTATCTATGGGTGTCGTTGTTGCCGGCTGAGGGGGCTCTGAGCCCGCTTTGTATGCTACATGCTTGTAGACACGGAAACACAACAGCAGTGTCCGACTTATAAACGATGGTACTTGAAGTTCTGCCCCCGGGAGACCAGATGACGTTCAAACCACAGCAGTACAGAATACAGCAGTAGACTAGCTGTCGTTGTTGGTCTGCAGACTGCATAAGCAGTTGAGAACCGTTCCTATCTGCTTAGCATCTTGTATGCATATTCATGTATGCCTTCGCGCATTCGAAACTGTACGACTGAGTGATGCGGACGCTTCGCTCGGTGCGCTAATGGCGCACTGTAAGTACAACCAAACGGCAGCTATGAGACACGGGTGTACAAGTACAAGTATCCATAAGAACTCGCCTTCGTGTAGACTACAAACTCATCCACGTGATATTAGTGATGATCGATAATTCGGGTGGCTCAGTTGTGTGTGATGGGAGCGTAGAGCAGCTCGGCCATGACGGGCCGCACGGGTAGGTAAAGACGTGTAGACGTGGTGAAAAACGTGTTGTATTCATCGGGGGCGTGCTTGAGCTCGTCATTCCATCACGGCATCAAGTCACGCATAACGCTTTAATACCTAGAACGAATCTCCATGAATCTCCACCAATCTACTACACTCCCAAGGAAAACACAAAGAAACTTCTTGTTCCTCCGTAGTTCGTCACTGCAATCCCCGCATATTTATACGCAATATACCACCCCCATGCTATGCTACGAGTATATCGAATAGCCCCCCTGCTCGTATGCATCGTCATGCTCCAACAAAATATCAAAGTCATCCTTATCATACCAGTTCATCCCAAAACAAATCAAAACCAAGACAAAATCGAAAACTCCAACACCAAAACAATACCTCCTCCAAAAACAATCAATCGCATACCAACTCTTTCTTCCAAATCATCAAGAAAAATCCCTAACATTAACCTTCCAAAACACTACCATCTCCACTTGACCCTCTCTATCTCTTGTTCAAACTCGTACATATCCTCTCTCTTCCACTCAACGGCAAAGCACGATTTGATCCCAAAACACCTCTGTCACTGCAAATTCATCACAAAGTCTCTGTGCAACGCAAAAGATTCCTTGCTGATAGCCTTCGTCAAGAAATCTGCATGCTGAAACTCCGACGCCACATGAGTAATCGAAATCTCCTTCCTCTCTACCAGTTCCCTGATAAAGTGATGCCGTACATCAATGTGCTTCGAGTTTGAGTTCGTGATCGGGTTGTGCGCAATCTGAATCGCTCCCTGATTATCCTCGAAGATTTGAATGCACGGCATACCTGCATCTGGCAACATAAAACGCCAAACTTGCCTCAAGAAAAGCACCTCCTTCAAGACGTCGGCAATTGCCACATACTCTGCTTCCGTTGTGGAAAGCGTAACGCACTTCTGCGTCCTCGAAAACCAAGTCACACACCCACCCCCACACATCACTAGTCCTCCTGA